GCTGAACCACAACGGCATGCTGTGATGACTATGGGGAGGGCCACCACTCCTGCTTCACTCCGGGTCCTTGGGCTGCCAGAAGTCCTTGCTGACAGATGCTATGCAGCTGTTGGATCGCCCAGCAGTCAAACAACTCATGAGACTTCAAAAAAGGTCTTCCTACTGCCAGAGAATGAAGGACAGGTCAGCTCAAGAAAGAAAATTTCTGTAAGCTTAGTCTTCCAGATGGAAAGCAGAAACTGGTATCACTCTATAAAGAAATGTAAGGGAAAGCCAAAGGAATAAGCTGATTCTGAAGATGACAATATAATACTGTCCACGAGAACCTGAAGTGCACGTGACTGCTGTGACAGCCACCAGCATGCTGCCTTCCAGGTCAAGGAGGATCCAGCGGTTTGGAGGGAAGACCCATAAGCATGTGAGAATCGGTTCCCTTCAGGAATGCACAAACAGTGGGCTACGACTATGGATGTTCGAAAAACTTGCAGGACAGAGTAGGGAGTTGATAACTAAAGCAAAGCTCTGCGCTCTGCCATTCCAAAGATACATTCAATTAGGTAGGATTAAAATATTAGCCAGAAATTAGCAGTAAGCATGCTACAGTGAGATGCTGGTTCACCCAGAACACGCCTGGATATTTTTTTCAATTTGGAAGAATTGCTTGGGCCAGAATTGATCAGTGGTCTGTCTGTTGTAGAAAACCATTCACTGTTCAGCATCTTTTATGGGGGATCTGAAAAGGGATGTCATAGCTCACAGGACTGCAAGAAGCAGACTCTTTAATGCCTCTAACAAATAGGTAAAAGAGGTCCTGAAACCACAGGTATGGAACATACGGCATTACCTGTTTCTTCTCTGTGCTTGAAGAGAACTTGCAATAGTGGTAGAATTGGGAAAAAGCCTCCAAAGAAGGACTTCTGCCCATGGGAAGGCACGTGTATCCCGGGAGCGCCCCTGACTGCTGCACGGACACCGGGGCACGCCTGCTTTGCAAACCGGTCTGCTCCCAGCCGCTCCCAAGTCAGGCTCAGCTTCTCCTGGATGTGGACACTTACACAGACAGCCAGAGTGTGCCACAGAGATGGAAGATGTGCAGACACAAAATGCACCAGGCTGCTACGCTTACATGGGCATTGGGTCCATGCTTAGGAACAAATCCCATGCTAGCTTTCATCACCATACAAGGACAGGTCTTCGCAAACACCAGCCAGGAACACGGATCATGAGGAGTAACCAGCTCAGATAGTAGAACAAGTGTTTTACAAATAGAGAGGCAAGCTAAACTCTTTCCTGAGTAACTGGCAAGATTGATGCCAGGCTCAACACCCCTAACTTTAACCTGTGAGTAAGAATTCAGTCTGAAAGAGTTCATGGTGAGATAGTCACCTCTTCCGCTCAGATGCTAAGCGGTCATTGCCGTACAGCCGCCAGTAGTGCTTTTTCAGTCCTTCTGACCAGAAAAGAGAGCATAAAAAGTACAAAAAAATCCCTTGCAAAGTAACACATGCTGGGACGAAGCTCTTCACATTGGCAGGACAATTTGCTTTCACAGCTTCCATGAAATACTCTGGTACTCCTTTGTCAAAGAGATGCTGGACGAGAAGGCCCACCAGTCCCATCCACACTGCCAGTATCTTTGCTTCCACGCACAGAACAGCAAACTCTCTTGAACTTTAGATTGCCCAGGTCAAGAAATCCTATTTAGAGCTAAGCCACAAATACAACTGCCAAGCAGAGCAAGTATACACACACAATACTCAAATACACGCTCAACACAGCACATTTGCTCTGCCCCTCAGGAATTTGTTTCAACTTCCACCCGGAGCATCAGCCAAAAATCTTCAGAAAATGCTGAAATTTCATAAACTTGCATTTGAAAAAAGAACAGTAAAATCCTTTCAGAGTTCGACTACTCCAGGTAACTTACAAGTGGAGTAGAAAAAACACACAATGGTGCTAATTGCTCACAAAAATGGCTCTTTCTTTTCCTGTATTTATGTCCAAAATCCTAATCTCATTTTAACCTAGTAAGTGGTGAGATGGATTTGCTAAGATTATGCGAGAAAATGAGAAGTTAAGGTGTTTACTGGCTAAGGAGTAACGATATTTAGTGAGCTGCTTTGAAACATAGTTTTTAAGTCATGCATTTTTTTGCTATATAGTTTTTAGTAGCAGTGGGACTAAAGAGCAAAGCTGAAGGGGTTTCCTTTCAAATTCAAAGCAATCCTAGGCTAGTTGCAGCCTTAAAAATGTACACACAGAAGAGGGATTCATTTTTGTCTTTAATAGAAATGTATTCAATAGAAAGGAAGCAAATGGTGTCAAAAAGCAACATTTGTGGTACGAGAGACCATGGAAGCTTTTTAAGTGCGAGCTACAACGTGTGCTGACAGCTTAAGCAGCGCAGGGTGCAAGCCGAGTCACTGCTGCCTTATTCTCAGAAGCTCATTTCTTCAGTGGTAGTTTGGTAGAAAAAGCAAAGAAAATTCCAAAACCAAATCTTCATTCTTTTTAGTTATACGGAAAGCACCAAGCAATCACAATGGCTCAAGCATAATTGTAGCATCATACTTAATCCTGCTAGAACTTCATAATGAACAATCAAAGTTCAAAAAGAGAGGAAAGTATTTAAGTTATTTTACTGGTAGTCTTAGAACTTAGCTTGTAAACAGCTTTTAGGCACTGCAAGATTTGTAAGTATATGGCAGAGAAGGAACCCAGTAAATTTACTCCAGTAAATTTATGAGCAGACAGTATTGTGGCTCCCCACTTTGGTATTTTAAATAAAATCAAATTTGTTAGGATGAAGCCACCAGAATAATTATCATAAGCTTATACAATTAATCAGCAAGATTGTTGTAGATGTCATAACGAGCTTCACTTGTGTTTTTTCATCTGCTCTTGCAGCATGAATTCAAGCTTCTGAAGTACGACTGCAGAATACACTGGTGGCAGAAAGTATACAAATTGTGTTTCTCCATTCTTAATGGAAAAAACAAGAGGTGAAAAGCCTAACCACAGGCTTGCTGTGGGACATTTTTTTTGCATTGGTTTATTCCCATTGACTACCCTTTTCATGTCCAATTTATATAAAAACTGCTCTAGTGCTTCAACATAATGGAGATCCTTACCCGAACTCAAGCAGTACATGTGGGGAGACAGCTGAGTAGTCTTGACTTGAACAAGGATTGTCGTCCAGAATTTGGGCTCCCCAGAACAAGACAGACATTGATACACTGGACTGATGGTAGCAGAAGACAGTCAAAATGATTCAAGAGCTGGAGCACATGACGGAAAAGGCTGAGAAAGCCAGGTTTGTTCAGGCCTTAAGAGAAGGCAGCTTTGGGTGGACCTTACTGGTGTCTTCAACTACGTAATGGGAGGATGGAGCCCGACACTTCTTGGAAGCACAGCAGCAGGACAAGAAGCAGCAGACAGACTGGAACATGGGAAATTCCAATTAAATATAGGAAATAATATTTTTTCACTATGAATGTGGTTAAACCCTGGAAATGGTGGCCTAGAGAGGTTGTGGATCTCCTCCACCCCTAGGAGCATTCAAAACTCAACCAGACAACAGTGACATGATCTAGTTGGACCTGCGTTGAGCAAGGTGATGGACCAGATGGCTTCCGAAGTCCCTTCCATCTCACATTATTTCATCATTCTAGGCATGGGCTTTTATGCCAGTGACTCTCTGTGAGCAGTCATATAAGCCAAACACGTACAAAGATCTTTTGTTTTGCTTTTAAATTCACCTGCTAATTCCTTGATTTTTACACTTTTCATTTGTTAAAACATAAAATATCAATGTGAATCACAAGTATGATATTTTAAAGTAGAAATTACAACTGTTGTTGTACGTTCCTTGAAGTACCAGTGGCATTTTATCCAGATTTTCACACACTAGTACACTATGTGAGATGTTAGCAGTAGCCGAACTTGAAAATGCAAAGCATGTATTCTGGCATGGCATTTTATTAAGATGTCAGATCTTTTTTGTTAGCAGTCAGTCAGCCACTGAAAACAAGCTGTATGCATCTAATCTAGTCAACGAAAATAGCCATACAACTGTAACACGATATGCCCCATTTATATAGCTCATTACGCTCTGAAGTGATTCACAGAATCACAGAATGTTCAGGGTTGGGAAGGACCTCTGCGGGAGGTCTAGTCCAACCCCCCTGCCGAAGCAGGGCCACCTACAGCAGGCTGCACAGGACCTTGTCCAGGCAGGGAAACTTCTATTCATTGTTTAAGTCCCCACAAAACCAATTACCAGCTTTAACATATATTAAAAGTAACATTACATTCTGCTCTAAAAAGTACAAAAAATAACACTTTAAATATATACCGGCCCCTAAGCTTAGACTGAGTCCTGTCAGGAAGAGAATTCTGCACTGCAATGGACAGCGCCTTCAACATCAAGAGCTCTTCAAAGTGCTTGGCAGAGTGTGTGAACGCTATCCCCACTTACCAGATGATGAAACTAAGGCACAGAGGTCACCTACCTCACCCACAGTTGCGCAGAGAGTGGCGGAACTAACAAAACAATTTCGGATTTTCCGTTGCCCAGTGTAACCACCACATCTCATTGCCACTATTCAAGTGCAACGGCTTAAGCATTTCTGAGGAGCAAAACTTGCACAGCATACAGTAAACAGATGGGGTGATCCAGGGCCAGTCAAAGGCTGCACGAATTTCAACCCAAATCAAACAAATTTGGTAGTCAATAAATCGAAATGCACTTCAGGGAATGATCACATAGAAAATTACACATAAGACATATGGTGTTAGCTTTGCAAAAAGTGTTGGTTATCTTAAGCTTGACAGTAGTTCAGGTAATGTTGACTTCATCAGACAAGTCGTACTTTCCCATCAGCAGATAATCTTGAACGCTGTTCTTCCACCAGCAAGGTACACTTCTCTGGAGAGTCACACAGAAATGCAGACAAGGGGCCAAATATCTCCTCAGTAGGCATGGATGTATATGAGGCACAAAAAACCCACATTAATCGTTTGTGAGGTATGGACTAAGTGGTAGAGAAATACCAGTCTGGAAAAATTAAAAAAGAGTCTAAAATAAATAAGGTTAAGAAAACTGAAAGCCACCCATCAAAAAATCATAAAGAAATGCACATTCAGATAGATCATGCTGCAGGAAAGAAAGTGCGATACGTGGAATCACTGCCTGGATGAAAAGCATGCTATAGCCTAGCCCTCTGATGACAAATAAGCATTTCAGAAAGCCTGTCCTTGAACAGGATGCTCATGAGATGACTCATTTACTGACAGAGACTGCTGACGGGATTCAGAAACATGTACGCTTTGATTCTGTTCTTCACTGATTTGATGGGAACGAACCGCTTCTTGGCTAGAGTGAGACTGTTGACTTGTTTCTTGAGTCAGCTGCATGTGTTGTGCTGGATGTGAAGATCCTGCTAAGTGGATTTCTTCATTTTGTCCTTGATGAGCATGGAGATGTTCAAGTGCTTCCTTGGAAAGAGTTATGACATGCATTTGTTCAGGTTGGACAGTCTCTATTTGGTTTGCAATCATGTTGATACTTTGGATTTGTTCTGCTTGCTCCTGCTGAGCTGAAATCAACAAGTTTTGCAACTGCTGTGGTGGCTGAGCAAGCAGCGTGAGGTTACCAGCCTGGTCTGTTGTCATGTTTGGGGCATTTTCTGCAGTAACTATACTAATGCCTTGATTATGACTGGGCATGAAGTTCATATTATGTACTGCATCTGTAACCAGTAGTTGAATTTCCTGCCCTCCAGAGGTGGCAAGCTGATACTGCTGCAGCTGAAGAATGTTTCTCACTTCTGAATTAGTGTTGGTGCTTGGAGCAGTGCTGGCTTCCTGAAACTGCTTTTCCTTGCTATGAATTTTCAAATGAGACTTCAGGTTGTCCAGACGAGCGAACTGCAAACTACATTCTGTGCAGGAGAAAGGCTTTTTGCCTGTGTGTAAGATACAGTGTCTCCTCTTAGCACTGGAATCGGAGAAGGATTTTCCACATATACCACAGGAATATGGCTTTTCTCCTCTGCAAAAGAATTTATTTGATCTCATTAAAATATTCACTTTGACGATGCTGCTTTCCGCAATTTATTATAGAATTAAAAACTTTATTATTTTGTTAAATCATAAGCACTTAAGAATAATGACACTAAAAATGTTCTCTGTCTTCCTCATTATTTCTATTTGACTTCCCAGACTGTAGTTTTATTAGTATATACTTAACAGCTACAGAGATAACTGCCCTCCTGTCATTACACCAAAGGTACAAATTCTGTGCTGCTAGACCTTGACAAGAATGCAACAACTTACTTGGCACAACTGTAAGCACGAACATTTACAGAACATTTATTAACAGTGTGGATTTTATAACCAAAAAAAGTGTCCAAATCCCAACTTGCTGCCCAACTCAAAGTGAGAAATTTTACTGGAAACATTTTCTTTTACATAAGGCCCACAACAGTTCTCCAATGATTTAAAATCTTACATGTCTTTATGCAATACATCACACTGACAAAGGTAAAAGATAACTAATGCTATTGAAGAGACATGATAGACTACAGCGAAACAGGACAATGCTCCAATAACCTTGTTACACCATGGCTACTGTTCTGCTGTCAAACAAAAATTGATGGTAAAGTTTTCACATAAATAATAGAGTAGTAAGTACATTGTCAGTAAACAGACACAATACACAAAAGAAGAATCTTACAATGTCTTGGCACACTAGTATTTAACAGTGCAGAACTTTCCACTGCCAATCATTTCTTGAATAGATTAAACAAAAATGTCAATCTTTAACCATCCATTCAAAATGCAAACAAGCCCTGACCATTCTATACTTGAACAAACACTGCATACAGGTATCAGATTAGAAGTTATATTTTTAAAGGAGGAAATTAAAATTAGACATACTCTACCTGTGAATTCTAATGTGAGTCTGAAGAGAACTTTTAGCTGTAAATGATTTGCCACAAATTTCACAAGTGAAGGGCTTCTCACCTATCAAAAAGAAAATGGACATCTGTTTTTATACAGCACGTTCCATCAATATATTAAAAAACATTTTATATTTTACCATACACAGTATCAAGTGTGTACTGTCAAATCCTCACGCTTCTGCCACGGGTCAGGCAGAAGAAACTGAATGAACTTGCTAGTTAAACGAGGGTATAGTAATTTAAACATACATCTCTGATGTTTCTACCTTTTGAAGATACAGAATTAGGTGATCCAAGCCCTCAGAGCAGTGAAAAACATACCTATGATACAGATGTGGGTGTTCCAAATGGAACAGACAAGTTTGAAAAAGGCTGACCCTGAACTAGTAGGCACTAATGCTGGCTCAGGTGTAGCACCCTGCAGATGAGTAAGCTCGTATTTCCCAACATGAAAAGTGAATCCATTATCTTAACAAGTCAGCTGGCTTCTCATAAGGCTCCAGCCTAGCCCTGTGAGATCCCGGGAACACCAGTCAGAAATTAAGTTGTGATGGGCTGAATAAATTGTGGGTTTCTTGTGGTTTTTTTACTGCATTTAGAATCCTTGTGTCTAATTGAGTAGAAGCTGAGGAGCCAAATTAAATAACAAAAAGTTCACAAGAAACAAACACTATCCAACAAAAGTGAATCCTAATTCACAAATAACATATTCAATAAATAACATATCCTTGTTGCATTGAGCTTCTTTAAGACACTAGATATGAGAATCCGGATCACCACTGTGGTAACTCACACCATCCAAGCACACTGAACTGGGGACAGGGCAGCAGCCAGTGCCCAAGGAAGGTTCACATTTGATATAGAACTGCAACACTTCCCAGCTTCATACGGCTTTGGAGGGCAGGGCAAAGTATCAAAGAACAAGAAGCATTTGTCAGAAGGGACCTCTCGTCATCTAGTCCCAGCCTCCTACTTAAAACAGGAGTAACTTCCTAAGTAGGCTGTATTCTTGTGACATTCTTTGGCCAAAGCAGAACAGTCGTATCAATGTTAACATCTGTCCCCGAGCTCCTTAGAATTTTACTTCTTGCTTTTGAGATGGGACAGATCAATTGTTATTTCTGCATCATTAATACTGGTATCTGGTTTGTCTTTTCTTGAAGAAAAATACATTGCAAGCCAGTTTCTGCTAGAACTCATCTTAATTGATCTATTTTTGGAACTTACCTTGCTACTACACTTCCCCTTCTCATTTCCCACTACGTTTATAGAGCTGTGCCAGCTTGAGATACAAACTACTGTGTGTGCCAACAAACACTATGTTCTCTGCAATAGAAAATGCAGGATTTTACAGTATTGCAAGTTAACACTATTTCGAATACACCGAAAACTCCCAAAGGCACAAGTTCTGACCTCACCCTACCCCAGTGAATTTAAAGCTGTGTTATTTTCACTCAGAAAGACAAAAAAAAAATGAATGAGATACATAACTTGATCTTGTGCATACTTTACTACATCTGTGGGCAACATCCTTAATAATTTGATTTGGGGAAGAAACGATTGCCACTGTTCACAGCTATTTTAAAAGAAAAAATACTTACAAGTCATCTTATGACCTTAACCTTCAAAGAAAACTATTTCAAGAAGCTTATGCCTTGTTATCACAAGATGATAGATCAACATTTTCATCCCTGTTCTCCAGCCATTAAAGTATCACCTTACCCTCTAAATCTCTTAAAACACCCTCTGGCACACTTGCACTACATCACCCCTCCCAGCCCATCTCCTGCCAACATCTGGTTTATTACAGCATAATAAAAAGGTAAACAGAAATAACTATTTTTCCAGTCAGCAGCATTTTTCATAGGCATCCATGCCTCACAGACAGGGCTGCCCAATTCATTTAGGACATGTACTTTCTGCTACAAGTTAGCTCACTTCAAGCCCCAGACAAGCTGGATGTGGCTCTCCTGAACTCCCGGTCCAGGACAGCTAACTGACACTTTTTGCAGCAAGCTTTATAAGAATGCGAAGAAAAAAAAAAAAACTCTTCCTATAACAGGCACTGCTTCTGCGCTGTTGTAATGCAATGTTTTTCGTGCTCCTGCATTCTCGATGTCAAATCACTAGCGATACAGGCATTATTATGTTCAAGCACAGCAGAAGTTCATCCCACAGTGACAAGTGTCATTTGCCTAACACTGTTTTGTCTGTGTTACTTCAAGAAAAAACAAACAAACAAAGAACCCCAACCCATAACAAAACATGATGGACAATATTACCTGTATGTGTTCTTAGATGTTTCTTTAACTGAGCCGCATCCATGAATTTGCGACGACACTGGTTACATTCCGGCAGTGAATGGCCTTGTCGCAATAACAAAAAAAGTGTCAGTGCATAAGTGATCCCCTGTATCTCTTCAGTGATCTTTGTTTAAGCACTTTCCTGTAAAATAACCACTTTGATATAATATAGAGATAAAACAAAAGGTGATTCACCACCTCCTCCTTATCTTAAATGTCACACCCCTATTTCTCTGTTTGATATCATCATGGGAAAAGAGGGGACTGACACCTGCTCCCCCCCAAACATGCTTTCTCTTGAAGACCACTTCCTGTGCGTGTAGCTTAATCTCCATCCTGCTCCAGAAGTGAGGAGGACACTTCTTAAAGCTTGTTTGCCATTGCCAGTCCAAAGCAGGGGGAAACTACAAGGCAATGTGCACAACTGGCAGCAGAGATGATTATTTATACAATTCCTAGCTTCTATGTAACAGATAGCAGGGCTAAAATAACCAAGTTGTAAGTCAGATACAGCATAACTAATTTTTAATCAGCGTAAGAGTCCTCCTCAATTAACTATTTTTCTAAACGTTCCAGTTATTATACACCACTTTGTCATTTTCACCCTATTCATTGTTACATCAAGATACCACACATCAGGGTAGCAGAGACTAAACACACCACTGAAAAACAATTTTCAGCCTTGGTCAATCATTATAAGGACAAATCAGCACGGACTGTAAGCCGGCTCTTCCACCCAAACTTGTTATACCTGTGTGTACTCGATAGTGGCTCTTGAGCTGTCTCTTTTGGCTGAAGTATTTCCCACACTGATCGCATGTAAAAGCCTTCTGCCCTGTAAAGAAAATCACTTATTAAAATACAAGTCACATCCAAAGCAAGTGTAAGGAAATACATACATAAACCAGCACACATGACAGAGAGCACAAATACCTTTTTTCAGAAAGGCAAACTCTTGTGGAAGACAGGTTACATTTGCCTCGAAATATTTACCTGTATGTAGGCGCATATGCTCTAGAAGAGAATGCTTTGTTGTCAGAGCCTTACTGCAGACGGTGCATGTGTACGGCCGCTCTCCAGTGTGCATCCGCTCATGGACTTGAAGAGAATGTTTCTGGGAAAAGCCTTTGCCACACTCACTGCACTTAAAAGGGCGCTCCCCTAAAAGCAAAAGATGACATTTGTAAGTATAGATGCATTATTTCTCGCTAGATAGTCTAAGCTGATAGTGAGATGCATTGCAATGTAGTAGCTACTAAACAATGACTTCTAAGTAGTGATAAGGCAAATTCAGGGACAAGCTTCACAGAACAATAAAATAATTAAGCACTGCCATGTTATTCAATGTTTAAACAGAGAAATGATTAACTAAACTGCAATCAAGGTAAGACATAAAGGCTACGAGATCTGCTGACAAGAATAAAACAGCGAACACGGTCTCAAAGACACCCCACAACAGTTTGGGTCAGCATGCTGTTTTGGGCAGTTCTTGCTGTAGGTAACAGCCCACACTTCAACAATTAGCTTGCATTTAGCAACAAGTCACTAAACCCTAACCCAAAAGCAGATGCCTCTTAATTCCTACCTGTATGACTCCGCTGATGAATAGCTAAGAAGTGATTATATTTAAACACTTTGCCACAGTCTTTACAGCGAGCTTCAGAACCTGCACGTTTCTTTTTTCCATCAGTTCTCTTTGCCAGTCCTTTTTCGTCCTCATCACCGAGAAGTTTATAATCTTTTAGTTTGATTGATCTCCTTATTCTACGTTTGCTGTAACGGCTCTGAGTGCTCTGTATTCCTTCAGATTTGGGATCATAATTCTCATCTTTCTCTGCTGAGAAATCGACAGCAGCTTCTGAGCCACAAGCAGGTTCAGTTTCTACTGCATCTTTCCTCACTGGAGCCTGTTCGCTGACAACTGTTTCTTCTTCCGCATTGTCTTTTTTCATAAAATTTTGCTTATTTTGCATGGAGTTGTTCTCTCTCAGCTGCCCATCTTCGGCAGAATTTGCGGATGATTTTTCTTCTTGGACATTCGTGATTTTCCTTGGTCGCCCTCGTTTTCGCTTTGGTGGTTCTTCATTTTTCTTGTCTCTCACAGTAACAGCTACAGAGGCTCCACTGTGAGCCGGAGCTGGTAACGCATCACTTGGGCTATGGGTGGCCTGGTAGTCTGTACAGGCCCACACCAAGTCATTCACTTTCAGCAGCTGTGCAGTAGCCAGAATTTGTTCTGTGCTTTTTTCACTGGCACGGAGGCAACCAGTGTAGATAAACTCTAGCAGTGCTCCAAAGGTGTCTGCAACCATTCCCTCCAACATGTAAATTGACTGCCCAATTTCACCCTCATCTACAAACATCATCGAGAAGTATTCACTGCTGGCAGCCAGCAAAGCTTTATGGGCCCTGAACTGTACATTCTCCACTATTAGGGTAATGTCACAAAGAAAATCCTTTTTCCTTTGGTCTTCAAAATTAGCTAGAATGGTATCTTTGTGAGCTTTGGAGTGAATGGTAACCAGTTTCTCCGATGCGTCAGGAGCCATTTCTGCCATTTTTACTGCACATATGAAAGCAGGTGCCTACAAGAACAGAACAGCTTTAATTAAGAAATATTGCAGAAGTCTGCATTCTAACACACCAAATCTCATTTGGTTTACCAGTCAAAGTTCCAACAGTTTCTGAAGCAATTCTGAAACCTCTGAACTTTCTTTACAATATCAACACTAATGCTGACAAACTTTCTCTAAAAAGTGTTTTTAAATCCTAAGAAATGGCTATAGATACTTTCTTCTCAGATCAGAATTTTGTTTATCTCTGATGTACTGTGAACTGTACAGTATTTTAAAAAACGACTACCCCTTCTGAAAGCTCCTTTCACAACCTAAAACAATTGAACAAAAAGAACTCTTTGTTCATAGCTCCTAAGCGGAAACAAACAATAGTAAAAAAAAAAAAAAAAAGTTTAAAAAAAAAAAAAAAAAAAAAAGGAAAAAAAAGACAATTTCAGCTCCATCCCTGCAGATGCCACATTTCGGATTATTCAGGGACAAGGCTATGAAATCCTGCAATCAATGATAAAACTTCACTGGCATCAGTGCGGCAGGACTCCACACCTTCTTTTACCCACTTCTATCCTCCTGAAAATTTCTTTCAGGACACTTACCTGCTAAGCTTCAGTCCACGGAGGCGGGCAAAAAAGCACAAAATCAGCAGCTTTTTATAAGAGCTCTGTCTAAAATTGGGTTGACAATGCTAACTATTAACCACCAATCTGGCTTCCCAAGCTTCATCAATTGTAAATATGCAAAAATTAAAAACAAGCAAAAAAAAATATCTATAATCCACCCATTTCAGAAGAATCCACCAAACAATACTACGGAAGAGATGTGCCAAAATGCCTATGTCAAGAGGATCAGCCGAGCCAAACACAAAACATATTAGCTACCTGCCATCTTAATATATAAAGCTGTTGTTTTAAATACAAACACATATTTAAACATAGCAATCCGTGAGCACAGTAGTTCTGATTACTGAAGGGATGCTGTAAGAAACAACGCAGACCACACACGGATGATACCTAAATGCTACTGGGGTGGCCAAAAAGCGATTCTTTAGCCCCATTCAGCGACCAAACAGTTCATGCCAGAGCCAAGCCGCGTATCTGGGAGCCCGATGTCGCCGGAGCACGCTCAATCCCGGCTGCAGGCCTGGCCCAGCCCTGCCTTACAGGGGATGACGGGAGCTCCCGGAGAGCTGCTGCCACCGCTGCGGCAGCCATTCCCCAGGTCCCCGTGTGGCCCGAGCTGGG